GTTACGTGGATGAACAGCATCCTGAGAAACCACCAGGTAAAAATCAAAGTGGAGCACAAAATTAGCAGAATATTTCTTTTCAGTTCAAACATTACACAACCAGTTTAAAGATATGAATATTTAACTCTACCGGACTAAATGACCCAAACTGGCTTCCTGGGTAATCAACAATAGTAATAGTAGAAGATGACACTGAACCACCTTCCCCTAAGCGGCGATTTAATAAACGAACAATAGCGTCAAACAGTTCGTTATACAAACAAGCAGTAAATCGATTCAAAGCTTCTTGTCCAGTTTGATTACGTGTTGATAGCGAAAATCGGCTAAAAATAAATGAGATAATAATTGATCTTCAAATTTATATTCGTGGTGATAATTAACAAAATTAAAAATATGCATTTTTCCTCCGTTCTATCTATACTTCTAAATATTATACCACCCGAAACATCTTAGCATTAACAACTTAGTTTAGTAACAGGTAATAATTAACTGGAACTTAAACAATGCATCTTCGGATACAAAAAAAGTTTAGTAATATATAACGATGGTCCACAGAGCATAAAAAAAATGCAGAAAACCATTTAAAATACCTAACAGGATTAGTGGATACAGTATCTGAAAGATTTTTACGAAAAACAGCTGAAGTAAGCTGCTCTATTTCTAGCCCCAATAATGAAGCAGCTTGCTGAGCATGCTGCATGTGTATAAATTGAGATCTTGGCGCATCACTCTGTGTAGCTTCAGCATAAATCAGATGTAGGATTGCTGTAAGGATAGATATGACTGCAGCTTTCTCTTTTTCCGTAAAACTCAATTTCGTAAACGTATCCAACAGTTTCAACCAGTCCTGAAGAAAAAAATGGTGAAGTTAATGATGTCCAGAATTAATCTTCCAGATTTCTTAAGCTTTTCCCATATCATATATAATACCAACGGTCAAATTCCAGATATATTGTGCATTTGAAAAGGACCTAAGAAATTCCGGGTACAAAGAATATGATACGGAAAACATGACCAATTACATATAAAATGAAATACTTTTTGACAGTCAGCATATGAATCGTTGTTTTTCTGTTTGAATGCTGCCACTAATTCTGAATCAGCTCCTTGCAAAAAATAACGTATTACATGAAATACCTTTCCGTCAGTGACACAACGATTTACACGAGTTTTTTCCAGTAAAAATGTTTGTATGGAAGCATTCCTAAAATATACAATACCTCATACATGTAATTTATGAATGTGCGTCCTCATAAGAATTAAAGTGAACTAAACTGATACCAAAATTTTAACAATACTATGCATATGTATTTCGTTATCCTCTCATTGCATGAACCAGTAAACTCTAGGAAAATTAGTGTTTCGAAATCGTCACTTTTCAAATGGTGACTCGCAGTGATATAAGTGATGTTTTGGATGGGATAAATTTGCGAGAAACTTTAAAAGATTTGAGCTGAAGTAAAATTACCTTAATGATGCTACAGTATCAAATGAAAGCGAGAACATCATTAAAAATCGAGTTGAATTCCCATTACTTTTCGTTCTACAGTTACCGAATGATTCCAAAACAAATAGAGCCGACGATATTATATCATCTGAAACACATGATATACAAGGAAAAAAGTAGACACTTGTTAACCTAAAAAAAATGATGAATTTTATCAAAAAAAGCTTCCAATTTCTTAATCTTGTTCAGATGGTACATACAGTAAATATTTTAGTGACCGCTAAAAACTACTTTTTACTTATTTCAAATTAAAGTATTGAGTCAAAAAGTGAAATTAACTCTATTATTATGGACTTACATGACAACGCCTTGGTCCATCCAGCTACTTCACAAAAATAACGACATATATTTCGTAGTTGCATTGTTTTTCCGCTACCAGATGTTCCCGACAATGTAATGCACTGGTTTCTTCCCGACATTTGCAAAGCTCTTTAAAAAGTCGATATCTAGCCATCACCGACCACAGTGGAAAATTAACAGTTTGTATTTAACATCAACGGACAGGAACATGTACATTTCACTATTGATTCGAGATGAAACGGAAGACACTACCTGTAGGCTTGCTGTGCAGAAGAATATATGTGTGGTGGAATCTGCTGACGTCTGCAACCTTTGAAAAGCGAAACTGTCGTTGCTGTCTTTGGACCTTCAGTTGCCAGACATATGATATTCCGTGGACCAACGTAAGTGTAAAACAAATTACTACCATAACGTTGACGAAGTACATGGAGTACACTCGTTTCATTTATATAGCGTAAACTAGAAAAGAAAGAAATGGAGGGAAAAATTAAAAAAAAAAAAGTGCAGAGAAATTCATGAAAAATGAAACTGAGACTTATTCAAATCATTTGTTCAAATTACGATAAATTTTTCATATGTTCGCTGAATAAAAATCTGCAAAAGAACAAAAGAAAATAACCTAATAAGATCCTTAACACGATCTAAGCATGATGGATTTGCTTTATCAACATCCGTTACATCAACATCCATTTCCAAATCCATCACTTTTATTTTCATCCTCCCGTCCGGTAATGTTTCCAATAAACGCGCGAGAGTAAAACCATTTTTATGAATCAACCAGCATCGTTCCTCTTCCGGCGTGTTCTATATCATTAAACTGCTTTATAATTTGAAGTCTTCCATATTTAATTTCATTTCCAAAATTTCACTTAAAACCCACAGTTCCTCTAAAAAAAAATCACCGCATTAGCCTGATATTTCGCATTTGCAGGAAGCATCAGTGAGTCACCAATAGCAGAGCGATCCAACTCATTCCGCTCGCATAATTCAGCTAATTCCGGTGCAGCTCTTACCGTCAGCTCAATAGTTGATCCACAACGCTGTAATAATGATTATTAGCAGACTGTGACATTTAAATTTCAGAACCACTAATCTATACTGTTATCCCAGTACTGGAAAGTAAATCAGATAACTATATCTATACTCCAACATACCAAAAACTTCAAAACTACCATTGATTCAACCTCCACTTATTCCAGTTAACTGTTGAACTGTTCCTAACTGTACTCTATTATGAGCTAGAATATTATCATGTTAAAGAAACAATCCAAAAGTACTACCAGTCCAGGTTTAATGAAAGCAAAACAAGAACTTCTTTTTGAATATGTAGTTTTTCTTTTTTTTGCTATTTCGTAGTGTGAACTGGTAACAGTAACTTACAAAGGGAAATAAAAAAGGATGAATAAATTGGTGACAAAAAGACAGGACGGAAGAAAACATAAGACGATAAGGGTAATTCCTAATTTCATCTTTTATATTTTAATAAGAGTAGCTTTTCTGACAATTTTTGACGTAACTCCATCAATAAACTTGCTTATTTACAGATTGCAGTATAATTTTCTAATTTTCCAAAAAAATATTATAAGAATGGAGGGGGGCGCGCTTATTTTTAAAGCAAAATCGGATTAAAAGAAAATGGAAATATCTTTAAAATTCCACATCTACTAGATTCATTTCGTATCTGATATATCCATTTCGTTTCATATAATCGGAAATTTCCAGAACTAAATCTAAATGTATGTATGTTTATGGGATTAATTGAAAAACACTTATCACTGCTGATTAAACTGATGATTCAGTAACATATGGCTAAATATCACAATTATAACAAAGCCGAAAAAAAAAAAATTAAAACCTCCATAAGAGTTGATAAATCGTTCCGACTTAATACATCGATTGAAGTACCATTAATTTGTAGCAATTGATCACCTGGTAGTAACCCATATCGAATATCGTTTGGTCGTGGTGGACCATTCCGAAACTTCACAGGTTCTACAAAGGCAACAGCATGCAATTTCCCCTGTTTATCAGGAATCTGCGTACGCCGCACAATAAAATCAAAGTCACCTGAAAAAAAGAAAACAAGAGAAGGATGACTTTAAAGATCTTCACTTAAAACAAAGTGAATGAATCTCAGTTATATCGCTTTTAAATTTCAAAATGACAATAGATGTAAGAAATTCTTCATAAAAATTTTCTGAATTAAACCATTAACTATAAGAATTATGCTTACCAGAAATATTTCTACGTAACGATACAGTCCTAATGTTAACTTGCACTGGAGCCAATGCTGGAAGCGACAACTTCGGTAAATTCTAAAAATCATTTGACCAGGAAGTATTCTGCGAATAATTTCCAAAAAATTTAAGCTTGAAAAAACATCAAAAATAAATTAAATGAATTATTTTTAATGCTAAATTATGTATAATGTTAAAAAAAAACCTTGAGGACATGAAATGAGGAAGGTGATGAAATCGCAACAGCTGTATCAGCCATTTTGCCTCATTAATTCCTCTTACAGTTGTAGAAAACAAGCCAATTCTTTAAATCGTTCAAAAGAACGATTTTATGTAAATTTTTTCGTTACTTCTAAATTTAACTACTAAAAAACAATCATTTTTCCAATGCACATATCAAAATTTTCAATGTCATAATTAGAACAAATTTTTCAAAATAAATTTTAACATTGCACACAACTATAATCTCAATTGTCGAAATGTTTTAAATAAAATATTATCGATCATTATTATTCATATGAAATATAACAGAAAAAAAAAATGAATTAAACAGTCCTCCAAATCATGATAAATAATAACATTGACAATTGGATCCATAACACGAAAATTGGCATAATGACACGAAACCATTTTGGTTCTACTTCAGTTATGCAACACAAATGATGGCGGATGGTTTTCATCGTTGTGTTTGGTTGGAATTTACTGTGATTATTAAGCCATTGATTGTTGCCTCATTGATTAATTTATAATTGAGTTACTTTCTTTTTCGTTTTTAAATTTTATAGTATTTTAGTTGATATTTCATTTTCCAGGTCAATTATTTTATTATCTTTAAATATTTTCATTCTGGATGATGAATTATATGGCTAGTAATTGATTAGTTTGATCGAAATTTGCTATTTATCAGAAATATATCCATGTAATTGTATGAGAAGAAAAGAAGAAAATTATTGTAGATGGCATTTTTAACGAATTTATTTGGTGTTCAAGCCAATGGTATACGTGAGACGGATAATGCTGCAGAAGTTGTGGAAAATTTAGTGGAAAGAGTGGAAACATCTACGGTTCCTGAAGATCGACGAGATGCTTTGAAAGCATTACGATCACTTGCTAAGGTTTTTATGATTATTTCTTTTTAAATGCTAATTTTAACAGTAGTAGAAATATTGTGACATGCAAATTACGAGTGAGATAGATAAAATTTAATTGTAGAGAGAGAAAATTTGAACGATGAGGATTGTTAAATTGTTAGCCTGAAATATAGTTAGTCAATTCTGGGATATCTGCAAGAGAAATTTGTCAAGAAATATCGCATGAAACCTATAAATGTACATATGGATCATCATAAATAACACCATGGTTCGCTGATTAATGTGTGATAAAATGTTTTCGAGAATAAATTTTTTAATAGTAGTAAATTATCATGGGAAAGACGTTATATGAACTTTCGATGACTTGTTATCTTATTTGGAGGAAACGATTTGCAAATTATTGAAATGGAAAATTGCAGAAAGTACGATTACCAGTTGCTGCCATAGGTATGAATGCTTATATGGAAATTCTGGAGAAAGAAGGCAGTAGTTCGGAGATCGTATCTATTGTCCTTGAAATACTTGTAGCTGTTCTGTGCGATGATGAGGCTCGTGATGAAGGTCGAGATTAAATTATTGCGCCTTATTTTAGTTGAATTAAATATTTTTCCATTATAGCCAAATCAGCTGAAGGAAAAAAAAGTTTAAGGGATGGACGAAATTGGTGAACGACTTGCGGAAATGATAGTTCGGAGAAAGACATTCATTACATCGATCATGGCACTTGTTGAATCATATGATTTCGCTGTTCGAAGGTATGCTTTTTTCATTTTCATAGAAATCACTAGATTTCAATGACTGTTAGATAGGAAGAAACAGTAGCCAGAGGTTATAAATAGTTGTGCACGGATCCATGAAAATAATTCATAGTACCTGCTATCAAGTCATTCATTAACTTTTATCGGCGATTTTTTTTTTTTTCTTTATTTAAGTGAATAAAGCCATTAAGCAATATGAACAAAACTACGAACTAAACCTAAATTTTCGCACTATTAGAAATTCTTGCATGAAAATTGTCGATGCACAATAAAATAAAAATTGCATGTTTCAGAGCAGCAGTACAATTATTAACAGCACTTTTGCGACATCGCGCTAGTGAAGTACAAACAGCTATTGTTGAGGAACCGATGGGAGTATCTCGTCTAGTAGATTTGCTCCACGATACCAGAGAGGTATCTTATTTTTAGTTAAGCTAATAAAAGTTCAAATATGATAGGAAAGCATAATTTTTTGCTCACCGTTTGAAGTACTATTTTCAAAGCACTCTCAAAAGCATTTGAAACAGCTTTCAAATGAAACATTGAGTTTCTATTTACTAAATTAAATTCAAGCATACTGTGTTTTCTCTTTTTTTTTTCTTTTTTTGTTCAAGATAATTCGTAACAATACGGTGTTAATGCTAAGTGAGCTAAGTCGAGCACATCCACAAATTCAACAGCTTTTGGCTTATGAAAACTCATTTCAACTTCTTTTTGATGTAATCAATGTTGAACCCATGGAAAGTAAGTATTTTTTTTTTAAACATAGAAATACTGAAGATATTCTAAGTTCGCGAGTTGCTTTGTCATACCTTATGCTTCAATTTCAGGTATCGTCATCGAAGACTGTCTTTATGTGTTTCTCAATCTCTTACGGAAAAATCCGAAGAATCAACAACTGTTCCGGGAAGCCAGGTTTGTGCATATTTTTCTCAGATAAAAGTACTGATCACAGTTCATATGTTACAAGTTTCTTCACCTTTTTAATGATATAAAGAAAAAGTAGAAACTCTGATCTGAATGTCCCCTTGTTATTTAGGAACTACATATCTTAGAATTCTTACAATTTTGAGGATGCTGTATGTGGAACTATTTATCATGATATTCAAGTTCTCTTGTTATAAGTGAAAAAATGAAGCAAATTAAGTTCGGCAGAATTGTTTAACCTTAAAATCTCAAGATCTGAAAAATCTTTGATTTTTTTTTCAGTCTGATACAGCGTTTGGCAGTGCTGTTGAACTATTTCTTATATGGACGAGAAGGTGAGGAAGATTTGCCACAGCGCGATTATGAGTGGCAAAAACAGAAAATAGCAAATGTAATATTTTTACTTCAAGTTATTCGAAGTTTGGTTTCTCCGCAAGATAATTCACAGAACAACACTCATGCTGCGCAGAAAGCTATTTCACAGACAGGTAAAGATTTGACATTTCATTAGAAATCTTTTTTCTAAATATTTCGCATTAGCATGCCAAGTAAAATACATGCTAAAATATTAAGATCCGTTTAGTCATTTTTATTAATTTATTTGAATATGGTAACAAGTACAAATCTGTAAAGGTTGAATCGAATTTTGAAATTCGATTAAATTATTACGGTCAAAAACAACTTTAAGTCGTAGTGGGATTTTTCTTGAAAAATTGTCCATCTAGCAATCTTTGCTTTTGACGGTGAGATTTAACTTCGAACCATTGTAAATCTAATGTTTTAACATTGTTATATTAGCAGTCAGGTTCTTTTAAAACTTAGCATTATAAGTTTAGATTAATTTCTCAATAATGGATGGAACCATTTTTTTTTTTTGGCACATCAATCATTCTATAACTTTGTTCGGTCAAATTTCTTAAGTCATCTTTATTGAATTTGACAGAAGGAGGACTTTAATTTAAGATGCTGAGCTTCACTGTGTTCGTTTTTTTTTTTTTTTTTTTTCTCTTTTTATACACATAAGAAAGAGAGGAGTGACCGTGATAAGAAAGCAAAATATATTTTAAATTCGTACTTGATTTTGCAATATATCCAAATTTTTTTTCTTTTTTTACAAGCTTTACAGTACAATTTTAGGAATGCTGAAAAGTTTATGCAGTGTTTTGTTATCGGAAATTGTAGCAACAGTAGAAGTTCTTACTGAAGCTATTATCACTGTAGCAGAAGTGATATGTGGTGACTATCCGAATCAGGAATATTTTTCAACTCGTAGTCTTGCAACCGATGTTGGAAACAGGTAACTCGCTACAAATGCCAGGTTGTTGAAATTGAATGTGATGTTGGATAAAATAGTACTTTTATTTAAATAGTTGGTAGTTCTGGAGGATATCGTTGCGTTTTTTCTAGAAGCACTGGTGTCGTAATATAAAACATTTTTGCCAAATTTCTCATTTAATGTACTTTTTTTTCCACCTTACAGGCCGTCATTAATTGTTCTTTTATTATCAATGAATACTGACAAGCAACCATTTAAACTGCGTTGTGCTGTTTTTTATTGTTTCCTGTGTTATCTGTATGACAACGAATTTGGCAAAACTAAAGTAAGTTTTGTTTTGCTAATTTTGCATTATAAAACTTATTAATAGCTTTGAAGTTACTATTGATAGATAAAGAATTATGTAATCTAAGTAACAGAGACTTTTCAGAGCATGATAAAATCGCAATTAGTTGAAATCTAAAATCTCTCTTGATTATAAGTATTCTGTAGATGCTAGCATTTATTCTTAGTTTGCGATTTGTTGTACTTGAAAGAATTTGATTTTTTTAATAATTAAATGCAGGTAATTGATACACTGTTACCGTCCGGAACTTCAAATAATACACAGATCACTACTGGACAGTGTATATGTACTGCTATTCTGAGTTCAGAAACTATTCAGGTATATAATCATGTGTAGTGAACAAGACTCTGTATCAAACTTCAAAATAATGAAATTCAAAAATTAAGTAGTTAACGGTTTTTTAGAATTAATTCGCAAAAGTTTGCAAAGTATATGAACTCTTTTACACTTTTTTATTTTTTTCAGTGAATCTATTGTTTACTTATCATTGTTCAGATATGGTTTGGTTGCGTTTGTTTGCTGCATTGTCTTCTAGATGCGAATCATCTGAAACAGCAGCTTCTTAGAGTTCAACTAACAACAAGTCCTTCCGAGACGCCTTCTTCACTTTTGCATCATCTTAGTACTATTCTGGTTAGTAAAAATTCCTTTTTTCTTTGAGAAGTTTTTACTGTGATTACTAGTTAACCGATATTTTTCCAGATCTCATTGGGTAACCGTCGGCCGCAGACTAGAACAGGTCTACTGATGTTGCTTTCAACATGGTTGCACAATTGTCCACTTGCAGTTGCACAGTTTATCTCAATCGAAGAAAATGTCCAATATTTAACGACACACATAGGTATAGCATAAAATTTTAATTTCACAACTTTTGAAGTTGTTGAAATCTAATGGTTCTTATCTTTATGAATGTTTTCTATGTTTACATGCCATGGATTTTCTTGAATCATTTTTTATTGTTTTTAAGATGGATATGGTAATGAAGGTTCTGAGGCTGAGAATCAAATTGTAAGGGGATTGATAGCCTTCTTACTTACAGTATGCCTAGTCTTCGATGAAACTGGCGTGGATCAAAGCAGGTAGACTGTGATATTCTCAATATGCATGCATTTAAACTTGTTTCCGTATTATTTTTTGGATATCATTTGGTTAATATTTTCCAGAAAGAATGCTTTGAGTGTGGTAGTGGAGCGTCGCGTTGGAAAGGAGAAGCTAGTTGAGTTATTGGAAGGTTTTTCGCATAGTGAGCATTACGTGAAAGCTGCACAACGACCGCAACCGTTAGCCAAATCAGCTCAGGACTTGTTGTTGGATTATCATTTTACGAAGTTCTTCAAAAGTGTCGAGGGTTCCTCAAAAAATTTTTTTTGGTTATAACGAAGCTTTTTTGCTTAGATTTTAAATCATTTCCCATTTATAACTAGAAACATTAGGACTATTTCATTGTTGGAGGGGGTGAGGGGGGTACAGTCACGGATTTTGATGAAGAATATTGTTTACTTGACAAGCAACTTAGTCATATATTTCACTTCTGGAAAAATTATGACATCAATCATTAGACCATATCGACCTGTCTTCGTTTTTTTAATTGATGTGTGGAATTATTTGTGTTTAGGACTTGTATCATCATTAAAATCTTAGATTTTATAGGTTTTAAAAAGACTTGAAGTATAAATATTTCTCGCAATTATTGTTCAGTTTATATTCCGCTTAAATTTTGTTTTTTAGGTCAAATGGTCAAACAGTTATGTCCATCTGCCGATATAAGTTCTTCCAGTAGCAATAATGATAGTGTTTTCAATTCATACAAAGAACTGATAAAACGTCAGGATGAAACAATCGCATCATTAAATCAACAGATAAGGAAGCTCAAGGAAGAAGCTGAAAATCAGCAGGTTTTTACTTACTGTGACTAACTTATGGGTTTTTGTGTTATGGGATTTTGTTTTATTAGTATCATTTCATGAACTTTTAAGGTAAACTAATCATCTTCTGAGATGTTGAAACATTCATATTTCTTTTCAGAATTATGATAAAGAAAACGAATTAGCTTCGCTTTGGAGGCAACTTGCTGAACAGTGCCAGGTTAATGAAACCAGTATTTCTAGACAACAAGAAATTGAGCACTATAAGTGGTGAATGCTTGAATCTTTTTCAAAGTGTATTTTTTAGAATTTTGGCCCTTATATTTCATTTTTGCCACTGGTCGATCCATAAAATTTGGAAAATTAAGTCCAAAATTTCATTCTTTATAATAAGGCATCCTGAGCTAATTTAACTTGATCACAAAATTAAGATTTCTCATAATTTTCAAACTTTCTCCCGTGAAGTTACACTTTTTGGCCGATATTGAACCGTAAGAACGAAGGTCGTCGAAGTATATTTTTCTATGCTTAGTTCCATTTTTTTTTTTTGCTGAATTGTATACATTTTAGTATGACTGTGCAATGGCAGTCAGAGGCGAAAAGGTATCAGAAGTGGGCAGAACAGTGGCAGCAGTACCAAGTTGCTCAGGTTTGTTTGGGTATTCGAAGTTAGAAGCATTTGTCACCAGTTTAAAATGTGATATTCCATAAAATTGAGATGATTTTCAGTCACCGAACCCTCAAGATCCATTGGTAATGCAGCTTATCTCTCAAAACAAAGAATTGGAAGAACAGTTAGAACGCGGTTGGCAAATGTACGATTCTCAAGGAGTGTCGTTAGTAGCCGCTTTAACAGAGATCGAAGAAGCAAAAACAAAAATTCGTGTTCTCGAAGGACAGATCGCTCAGACGGTTTTGGATCATTCCTACAAACAAATGAATTCCACAGAGGTTTTTTTTTTTAAGTATAAATTTTACTATAGTTACTACCACAATAATGGATATTATCCTTTATTACGTAAGCAAATGAACTTAAGAAAACAAGGAAGATGGAGGAAACTGAATTATTGCTCCCATTACATACTTCGACTTTCTTTTACATACTTAGATTTATTTCAAGGTAAAATTTTGTATATTTCTTGTTTCTGCATTACAGATAGTAAATGATGACGAAGTGGCAGTGTTGAGAAAAGAGCAAGAAGATTTGTTGGTATTACTTGCTGATCAGGATGCTAAGATACTTGAATACAGGCGAAAATTGACAGAACTGGGGCAAGCAGTTACAGATGACGAAGATACTGATGCATAGTGATTTATGTTTTGTAAATCTGCCTTTTATAGTAGGAAAAATTTCGGAAGATGAATTAATTTATTTGAGAAATATTTTCGGTATTTCTTGTAGGACTTAATGATTTCAATGACATGTCTACATTCCACATGTTTTATCTGTGATAAACAGTAACAAGAGCTCATATAGTGAAGGTTTTGGAACTTCCCATTAATTTATCTTGGCATTCTTTTTAAAAGTCTTCTGTTATTCCGATATGCTATATATTACTTTTAAATGAATGATTGCTTTGAATTGCATACAGCAATCATTACCAAATAACTATAATTTGATGTTTCAGGTTTTTCTATATAATAAAATTATCTTTAATATGAATGTAAAAAACAGTAACATTGACATCTTCCTAAGTTTAATGATTATCATCTTAACTTATAACTAATTCGCTAGAACTAGCAAAATCTTAAGATTCAAGAGAGACATTTAAGATATTTTGTTGCAAGTAAGAAGCACATCTGATGCCACTTAAAAGAAACTAATTATAAGGTAACACTGATATAATCTGAAGTATTTTGAACTGAATGAATTGCATACAGTAATTTGTGAAAAAGGATGTATTATAATACGGATGGAGAAAGGGAATATCCTTATCACGATGCATGATTTGCTTATTATTTTTATTCTTTTTATTTCCTCCTAGTAGTTCTTATCGTTAATTTTCCAACAAATTTATTTATACTTTTAGTGATCATCTGTCTAGGAGTTAAAATTGAAGTTGACGATAACTCTAGATGTAAGTTTCGCAGCATATTCCATAGCTCACTATTCGGAAATTCATGAGATGTCAATGCAGATTTAAGGGACATATGACACGTACAACTGCTCGTACGCTTACCAACTAATCATTGAAATCTTTAGTAACAAAGACGGACTCACTTGTTACGATGCAGAATAAAAAATCAGAACAAAACCATTAATGTTATAATTACATGGAATGCAAAAATTCTGACTGAAACTTAAAATCCCCGATAACCCGACATTGATATACATTCTTATCCCATTAAAATAACCATATATTTCTCTCTAATTTTTTCAATTTTGGTACTTTTCATCTCATATTTTCAATGTCCAAAATCGACAATTTCAAATCACATTAATATATCCAAAATGAACTTTCGAAAGCTGTGGCAGTAAGCCAAATGTAAACTGCATTATATAACCTTGAGATAATAATAAATAAAAATAGTATCAGGTCTAATTTTTTCGTATCTTTTTCCACTTCAAGAAAAGTCAAATTAATCGGGATATAATGGAAATCCATTTTATTACTAGAATCATTTTCAGAACAATGGCATGAAGCATGAAGTAACTATTTATTTATTTACTCGATTTCGATCCTGATGAACGTAACATTCGTTCGAGAAATTTCTTATTCGTTTTTAAACAGCTTGGCTTTTTCCTGAAATAATTCTCTCACTTATACTCAGCTGTATTTCGCGTATTTGGGATTATTGCCCGTTATGCCACTTCTAAGACATCAATGAATCAATATAAAGCAAAAGTCAAAAGCTTAAGGGTTTCGTTTATTTTTAATGAATTAACTTTTTTCTTTTATTTTTTTGGACACTTCTAGACTCTTATGTACTTTGACATGATTACACAATTAGGTGGTACTTAATCTCTAGTAGGTATTTTGTCGCCTGATTATTTTGGAATTAATGGTATAGTTAGTTTATTTTTAATGAATATAGTTAGGTTTTGACGTATTCTGTCATTATTCATGTTTAAATATAGTTAAATATGAGAATTTGTTGTTGTCATGTATTTTTATTGGGGTTCTTCTTTTATATTTTCAGTTTTTTAAATATATTCATAATTATTTCGTTATAAATGATAGAACTTACGGTAAAGTTTTCTATATTGACACAGGGTTGCACGGAAGACAGGTATTTTGTTGGGGGGAGGGGAGGGAGGTTTGTTATTATTAATTTCGTAGTAAATTGTTCAGTTTTAATTGATATATACTCAGGCTTATGGTATGTCAATTGATTATTGGCGATTTTTAGAACGATGTTTCTGTGCAAAATATTTTATTTTCTGCTTTTGACACTTATTTTGAATACATTCTGGTGCATGAGTAAAATAAAACACGTCAATATAAATATTTAAACGAAACATACCAGCCCTGTGGTCCAGTTATTTCGTAGCGACGAATACCCAACATAGCATCCTTAAGAATCTCTTCTCGAGCTTTCTTTTCTAATTCAGATAGGCCACTCTTATGCGTTTCAGTATTAGACAGTTGTACTTCCGCGGTTACCATATTTATATTTTTTCTCACTTTGATAATCAGCTTATCCAGTTGACGGAGTTTGGACCGATTAGCTGTTTCATTCATTGATTAGAACTTCCTGAATTATTATTTCGCACAATACCGTTACTACCCGACAATCACTGTTTAAAGTCTCAGAATCTTGTTTAAAATCTCAAAATTCCTATTCATCTACTTACTTTTTGTGTCCCACTGCTGGATCCTATAGTGTCCCAAAACAAACTAATTCCCAGTATGTTCCACTATCACCGATCATATAAAACCCATTCAGAACTGAGACAAATTGCTCGTGCATGATACAAGTTAGACCTAACTTTCTGCCATTTCTACAGAGCAATAAACTATGAAACACCAGGTCATAAAACCTTTATTAAAAACTGATCAGAATTACGGAGGGCACAAAATGACGTGAAAGACAATTCCAAAAAAAGGTGGGACAAGGAATTAAGGGCATGAATTCATAGTTCCAGTTAGGGAGCGTCCACAAAATTTTCTGCTTCATAGGTGCTTACAGTAAATAAAAAACACGACAGTATAACATTTCTCTAATTTTTGCACATAATGTTCTACAGGAAACAATAATTACATTATAAAATCACATAGTGCAAAGAACATTTTGCACATACTTCTCATAAAACAAAAATTTCGGCAAAAAAGTGAGTCGTAATCGCCAAGTAGATACATATACATTATGTTTCAATAATTTCATGAAAAACAAGCATATTACAAGTGATAAAAAAACTATCACAACCATGCTAATTTTAAAGAAAAGGGATAAACATGTGACACACTACCGATATACAACACGGAACATGAATAGCCACAGCCAAAAGACAGATGGTAATGGCTAGTCGTATCTGGCTAATTCCAAAACATCACTGATCTGAACAAAAAAAGTTAAAAAAAAAAAAAAAAAACAGGAACGCGAGACCCAAGCAATCACAGAAGAATAATGTACGACTATAGCTGAATTACTCCAAAAGAGAGAAAAAATAAGGTAGGAAGAAAGTTAATTAATCTGTAAAATAAACAAATATTAGCACCTCCAAGAACAGACTAAAACACACCATAAAGAAAAGAACCAAACAAACAACTGATAGGGAAAAAAGTTGCAAGAAATTGATTTGTGCTCGAAAACATTCTAAATATACAACAAATTTAACGGATTTGGCAGCTTAAACAAAAGTTGTTTCTCAAGAATTTAATTTAACACGATCAAAATGAGCGATTTTGAAGTCAGTACTGAAAATGTGACCTAACTTGATATTTCTGGAAAACTATGCTTGGCATATTTAGGAATGAAAACAACAAATGAACGAGCATAAATAGACAAGATCTCTGCAGTATGCGTCTTATTAACAAAAAAAGAAAGAAAGAAAAAAAGAAAAAAAAAAAAAAACTTCAGGATTATTAAAGCTAAAAACGGCATCATAGGATGTAAAATATAAATAAATGGTTTGGATCTCCAAAGAGTGAAATCAGAATCAACATAGTCTGCTTACGCTAAAACAGTCACTTTTTTTAGACAAAATTTCAAACTTCCTTTTCATATAGCAGCTTCCAAACGTTTCGAAGAGTAGAAAGGTGTTACGGATGAGAGACCTGAGTGAGAAAACGACTCACAACTTTCGTCAATAACTCCACTATCGAATGAATTAAAACTAAGACGACGTATGGAAGATAAATTTAAAGCTTGCTGGGGTGTGTTGGGTGATGTATTAACGATGCTGTTCGACGTATTGCCTTCTATCTCGGATAAACCCGAATCTCGTTCACGTGGTCCGTCGCTACGACTAATCAACGAATGCTTGTCCAATTCGCCATCAATCCTTACTGCTTCCATTTCCGCACACTCGGCTACTGACTCTTTTACATCTGCCACAAACCGATGTCTAAAAGTTCCAGAAAAACCACTGATACAAGAAAGGACTCAAAAGCTATTCCTCATCTTATCCACTTCATGCACGAAAAACAGCAGTTTCTCTCACCTGTCGTCATCATTTTTCGAGTTGAAAAAAATTTCCTGTCCGTCAGGTAGTGTGATCATAATGCCATAATCGTAAAAAGAAGTCTCAAACATGCTAACACGTACTCCAAGAAGCATCATCCACGTGCGCAACACGTACTGGCAACATGATTTTCTCTTTGAAGCCATTTTTGCAATCTACAACAACCGAATATTTCAGAAAGTTACAACTACCCAAACTTTATTCTTCCGTAAAATGCTTTACTTGAAAATATCTTTTCGAACTATAAGAAATGTTTCCTAGAAAAATATCAGCATTAAATTACTAAAAATTCAGATGTTAAAAATTTACCAACAAAAGGTCGTTGAACAAAAAAACTTCGCGTTGATGAGCATTGGATGGTTGTCGCTTATTACGATCGATAATCTGGTTCAAACGGCAGTAACAAACAAGCCGACGATGTGGTTCGACCAAGTTCTAAAAATTATATTATCAGGATGCTGAACATATGCCTAACCAATAAAACTGTGAACATATTAATCAAATTTTAAAACTGAATTATCCAACTTACTGGTTTCTCCTTACCAACCATACTTTGATCAACCACTATAACTTGCGATACATGATCTGACCCAGCGCTAAATGGCGAATCACGAATACGGCGGTAAATCCGAACCAATAGTGATCTTACAAATTGGATAACAAAATGAAAAGTTATATTGAGAAAACAGATTCAAGTTAGGAAAAATAATATTTTGTCAGGCATATGCTTATCTATCAACTTGTTTCAATAAATGAAAACTAATACATAACATCATTAGAAAAAAATCAAAGAAAGGGAACCTGTCAATGTCGTATCCTCCATCAATTCCACGTAAGTTATTGATGAAATCTCCCACTTTCATTTTCAGTGATGGTTTGATATTAGGCGAATGAAGATCTGTGTTCAGCATAACAATGGCAAATGCCAGGATGAATATTGTGTCTCCACTGTGAAAAAGTGTAACCTTGTCGGGATTGCATACGGCATATCGTGCCGAAAATACCTACAATGAGTTATAATGATAATAAATTTTAATGAAATGTTTTAATGAAATATAAGAAAAAAAAAAAAACCGTATGATCCAATATTTTTATAATTCAAAATAAGCACAGGTGAAAAAAAAAAAAAAAAAAACTACCTCAAACTGTTGGAATTTTCAACAGCAACTGATTACTTTGTTCAGTGTATTTGTTGAAGAGCGATACGATGCATCAGAAATGAACAAATTCTCTTCATGAATGGTGATCATGATTGAATCATGTTTTATCTTTTCATTCACTGTTAACAATATTTTTTAAACAATTTCGCAAAACAAAGAAAAACTGGTTACAAACCTGCATAATTCTCTCGATTTTCTGCGCTTCTCCTGGAAGGCGAAAAAACGAAAGCGTGTGCCTAAGAGCAATATCCACTTCCATCCCATGTAAATCAATTTGATCAACGAAATGACTAAAAGTGATAATTGAGGGGAAAATAGAAAATGTAAAGTTTGATGATAATTGATATTTTTAAAATCGCTCAGCAGGATTTACTTATATCCCTCGGCAACATTTGACAATATCCACTTTAATTCAAGTATATTCAACGCACAAATCAAAAAATTTTGTGACTTCATCTTTCAAATTTAGATCACTTCAACCTACTTTTCGAAGCTTTTCGGTTGAAAAAGTCAAGGGGATTACTTACTAAACATCAAAAGATAGATGTTAACCATCCCTGAGAACAGAGGACTGAAAGATGTTAACCATACCTGAGAACAGAGGACTGAAAAGGATTGTGCAAGTGTCCAATGTATTCACCAATCATTTGTTTACTTAAACCTCGACGATGCAATAACAAATTAGCAATAGCGAGAGAACTGTCTTCAACAAAACCCCACTCAATGAGATATTGCACACCACGCGTAGGTTTCCTGTAATTCAAATATTTTTCTGTAATACCCTAATTCGAACTTAACAACGAGATATATGCATCCAATATTAATATTTATATATTACTAATATTCTACGAACTAAGCCTCTCTTTCTCTATTTCCTTTCAAAAATTATTTTCAGAGCATAAAACTTACTTATTAAAGAAATTAAGCGCTATTCTGTACTGACGTCTTCTTCGCTGATCTGGTACTGCATGAGCATTCGATGAAATGCTACAAACAAATGCACCTTAGATAGATGAGGAAATTAACAACAATAACTTTTGAGATTTCGCAGTAATAGTCAAAAATTGCAGATATCAGTTCATCTTTCTTCGAGTCAAGAAGTTATCTCCGACTGTGAATAATTCCTACAGCCTATTTAGTTGATAAAAGCTCCTTACTATTCAATTTTTGGTATTCAAGAGAACTGATGATTTGGTATCCAAAACAAATCACCAATTCTAGCTCCATCTTCTGAGGAATTATTTCCCAGAAGTAAAAGAGTACCATGATTATTCAATAATTCTGACAGAAACAAAAATGAATCTTGATCTTCCTAGCAAAAGCAGTTTTTCAATTAAAATCTTGTTTTTTTTTTTTTAGACAAACATTAACCTGACTGCCTGAGATGGTGTTGCATGTTTGTCGAGACGAGGAAGAGAATTTGAATGACTGCTACGTCCGGTAACTGCTGATGAACGGGGAAGCCAAACATGTGATGCTGGATGTGCCATATTTGTCACGATCCTAAATCGAAAAAAAATCGTCTTATATGTCTTTCCTGATTAATTTTCAATTTCATCCTTATCCTTCATAAGAAAAGTTTCTTTAGGAATTATGTAAACAAACCTTCTTTGGGAAAGTCGAGGCGACAAACATTCCACTGCAGAACGATGAAGTGAGTTACTGTCAAATCTGGCGCTTCCAATATTTTCTGCAACCGCCAGCGGTACTTTACAACCTCGTTCCGGTACAGGTATCTTAATGCGTGAAGATGGATTCTTTGACCTAAAACATGAGCAAGAATTCAGGAAAAAATCTAAATCGGCAGTCGACAACGACGCTTGCGAGCCGTTGATGAAAGTTTCTATTTATAGTTTGGGAAATATCAAAATTAAAGTACATACGTACCTAACTGGTATAATGGAAGGTCGATCAAGACATGCTAGAGCACTAGATGCAACCAAAGATGTATCATGCTTCAAAACATCATTATATCTCTGCCTGTCATCATTTTTGGAATACACTGCATTATTTTGGATTGGTAATACGAGATGTTTCCACTGCTTCAATAAACAAGACTGACGAAATGCTCGCTGTATTCGTGTAGCAGCTGTATGAGCGCGCAGACGGCCACCATACCGACGTTCCAACACCTAAAAAAGCTGCAGTAATGTAGTCATAACGATGGAATACAATTAAATGAAATATATGCATGCAATAATATATAAATTCCAACTGTCATGAAATTTTTAGCATGGTAAGGGAAATCTCTCCCTTACCTGGAGTTGCCGACGACAGAGCTCATCCGAAATTTCATAGCTCGTAAGCGCACGAACCGATATGGTTGGACCACGCCACTCGCTCAACATTCATCAACCCAATATTCTAATAATATTTCTTAATAGCAGCGGTAATTCAATTATGATTTAACACAATAAATACATATACATGTGCACTATTCTGCAGCTAAGATTAATGCTCGGAAAAGTTCATAAGTCTCGAAACTTCATAAGTCTCAAGTTCATCGCTGATAATCTTTTTTAGGATAAAAAATGTAATTCCAAATGCGAACATCTCTAATTCGAAATACGTAAACGATAATTGATGATCGAAAAAATAACACCCCACTATTTAATAAACAATAAAAGAATTATGCACTTAACGATAACAGCGAACCTTTATCAATAATTTAGCTGTTACGAATGGAAACCATTTCTATTGATGATGAATCTTGCAAAAATCAATGTAGGCATAACAATAATAGCGAACAAATTTTTGATATAACACGTGACTTAGAATGGAACTCAATCCTCTTTTTTCTTTTGTTTTTGAGGAAATTCTTAATTAAAAAGATTTCATAGATCGATTGCAACCATTAGATCTATGCTGATGGTAGCAGAAAAACATATGACATTTATTACATGTGTACAGTATCAGCTCCATATGTGTGGTATTTGTTGTATCGGTCTGTTTATCTATCTATCCATCTATCTGTCTGCTTGTCTATTCATCCATCTAGCTATCTATCCATATGTAATATCCAACAAATAAATTTGATAAATGTTGCATATATATTTCCTTTTTGTAAATGCAGTAAAAGATTTGTATTTATTGAATATATTCAAAAATTTATTCGGTATTGATGGGATGTAAATTTGTCATAATGTAAAAATTTACTGCAAAAAATTTTCATATATTTTAAAAAAACAAAAAATTAAATTTTAAATAGTTTGTGAATTATTTGTTTGATTGAAAAAAGAAAACCTCACAAGATTAATTTCTTAAATAATCGTAAATGTTTGTTTAATTTAAAATTACGTAACTGTTTTTACAATACATCAAAAAAAGAAAAAAAGAAAGGGGAAAAAAGGGAGACTACAAAGCTAACAATTATTCGATCAATCATTATGTAAATTAATTGTTGAAATATTGCACCATACCTATTGCCTAACCTATTGATCTTTTCTTTTATCGTCGATGTCTAGCTTATACATGTTTTGTCTTCTACTCGTTGTCAAGCATAAAAGGCACTCTCATCAAAGTCTATTCTATTTTAGCTTATATTTCATGAAAGTATACATGAAATGCTAGAAGTTTTTGCTTAAATTGCTTCCAAAATTTCATTTGGTTTTCCGGTTCCTTTTCTTTTTCATTTATTCATTTAAGTTTAATTTTAAATTCAATTTAAGTTAAATATGTGTTAGGGTAAACAGTAAAATTTATATTTAAACCGTGAAACAAAGAAAAGAAGGATCCTTTCAGGATTAGTGAAATTTTTTCTGTTCAGTGTATTTTTGTATTAAAAAGAATTTTTCTGTTTGGAATTTTTTTTTTTAAGGATATTTCTGGACTGGGGATAGCTGAAAAATGATTATCCTTGATTAGCATAATTCGTTTTTCTTTATTTGTGCGATTTTTTTTTTTTCATTGCATTATAATTCATAATTTTTTCGATTTTTGAAGAAAAAATTGGAAAAACTTCAAGAACATTGGATTCAAGTTTGTTTTCGGTATTGTTTATAGGTTTTAACTGTATCTTTGGCACTGCTTGGAACATATAGCGCATTTTAATTTTGTTATTCTACTTTTACTATTTCTGTGCTAAATAATACACGTTAGTTTCAACAATTTTCAATTTTATCGTTTTATTCAGTATTGAAGTTGTCGTATATGCTTTCGATACAACGACGATTCTTGAGTCGTTGTGCCGATCTGCTTCGTACAGAAACGGCACGAACCTATTTTGAAGTTATATTCTCTAAACTGAAAGCACTCCAGAAGGATGGGAAGGACGAATCGAGGATTAATAATTCTGCTTTAGTCACACATTTAGAAACCGTAACAACATTGGCTCACAAGTTTTACGATAAATTGGAAATGCTCACTCAGTTAGATTTACTTCTGAAAGGTTCGACTATTTTATAAAATTCCATATTCTATGAATATATTCAAAAATAAAAATTTTATTATTTAAAGAGGGAAATGATCCAGAAATCCAAGAAATTGCGAAGTTGGATAGTGAACAATTAACGGAGGAATTGGATAGTGTTGTTAACAAATTAACCGATGTAGTAATACCTGTTACCGAATACGATTTGCTGAACAACTGTCAGCTAGAAATCACTCCGTTGGTCACTACTTAATTATCTTCTTCAAAATTTATTCTTGGAAACATTTTAAGATTTTTATTCTTTCGCTAAAGATTATCTTTTTACGAAAGGACATTACACCTTTCCCGCTTGATAAACAGACTTATATTAGTGAAACTTCAGTTTAAGTCTTAAATTTTATTCTTGCTATGTGCTCGTAATGATTATAAACTTTACTTTTTTTTTTTTTTATAGAGGTGTAGGTGGTGTTGAAGCATCTTTATTTGCATCCGAATTAGCTCAAATGTACCATAATTATGCGCAATTTATGAAATGGAAGTGGACACCTTATCAAATGGATGTTTCACCATCGGGTTGAGATTCCAAACATTTACAAGTGAAGCCAAGAAAAGAACATTTCAGATCAGTTTACTTGGTTATACTACACTTAGTTAGTTGATGACGTAGCATACATAGTGTTTTTGCAGGAGGCATACGTAGTGCTGTAGTTTTTGTGCGAGGTAATGGAGCATTTCGAACGCTACGGTATGAAGCCGGTGTTCATCGCGTACAGAGATTCCCGGTAACGGATAAAACACGCATGCATACAAGTACATCCGTTGTAGCCGTCCTTCCGGAACCAGATAAGGTTAGGTTTGTTTCGCATTTTTCATTCGTGATGGATTGCAAGATGTCCAGCTTCATTCAGATTTAGTTTTAAATGGTAATGTTTTTATTTTGTAAGTCTGAATGTAGAAGGCTATACATATAACATATTTTCAGATAGAGGCTTGCGTGACACCGGCTGATGTGAAGGTAGAAACAATGAGAGCTTCGGGTCCTGGTGGCCAGAACGTCAATCAACGATCCACGGCAGTCCGCTTAACTCATCGTGAAACAGGTGTAACAGTGCATTGTACTGATGAAAGGACGCAATATTCTAATATGGAGGTATGACTTTATACCCCATTCTTCTCCTTTTTTACTCATTCATATTACTAATGGCTTCATGATATAATCGTCATCACGTAAATGCAGAGAGAATTGAACTTTTACTTACAATTGTAATTTCTAGTCCGACACTGAAATGTAACTGTCTCGCTTTCTATATATCATTTAAAGTCCATATATTTTGTTTAGATAGCATACAAACGATTAGCTGCTATACTGTTACAACGGAAACTTGATGAAACACAGAAGCAATACTCATCATCCAGAAAACTACAAGTCAGTTATTACAGAAGTACTAATACTTTATTTGGTATATGAAAATTAAATTAATACGTCCCAGTATTGTAAATTTCTGACTACTATATGAATATTTTAGATAGGAACTAAGGCACGAGCCGAAAAAGTGCGAACATACAACTTCAAAGATGATCAAGTCACAGATCATCGTTTGGGTAGAGCTTGGCAAGGTGTTGCAAACGTTATGAAGGGAAATAGTGTCTTAAATCAGATAATTCAATCTCTGGATGAATTGTCCAAAGCTCAGTACTTGAAAGAAGTCTTGAACGCAGGGGATTGTACTGCAAAACATGCTAGTTTCTAATGTTTAAGTTCAGAAGACAATAAATATTTACATTTGCTTTTATACAGCACTAAAAATTTTTGCCAAGGTGACAAATTTAAAGCGCCATCTACGTATTATGGATTATATTTCATTTTATTTCCAGAGGTACAGTAGGCAAAGCTAAGCAAAAGTAGAACAAATAGTTTTTTTTTTTTTTTTTTTTTTTGCAAATCAGATTTTACAAAATATTGTGAACAAACGGTAATTTAAAGCTGAATCATTGCTTTTTTGGAAACTGACATTCCTACAGATTTGAGTAGTAAGGCCTTTTAAAGGTAAGGTTTACTATGAATAAGCGAGGCCCGGTATTATCATATAGTAATTTGCTTACTGAAGGACGAAACATGAACTCTACTTTAAGAGTAAATAGTGAACTAGAAAATTTGATTCGTTCTCATCAAAAAATCCAAAAATTTGAAGGAGTTCGGAATTTTAAGGAAGTCTCTTAAAGTAGAGTTGGCCCGTTATCCAAAGTTTTCCAGTTGGTAAAATTCTGTTTTAACACTACTGAAATCTGCTAACATTATACTTCAGTATAAGGGGAACATTTTATTTACACTCAACATTACATATCTCCCGTCCATCTCAGTTAGCTTTCCCATATTTTTTCTTCCGATGGAAGATATCATCTGCATATGACTGATTCGGCAATCGCTTAAGCGCTTTATATGGATACTGACCTAGTTGAGGTTGTGGATATTTTGCCATCAAGTTATTTATCTGGTACTTGGTCAATGTTGTTCGTCCATCGACTGAACCGTCAAGTACACCCTGAAACATCCAATCCGGAAAATCAAACTCCACAAAAAGAATGTGGAACACGAAGCTCGTAAATGATGTGAAAGACTCAAGTGTGAATAAGTCATAATTAGGAATTGGGTGAAACAATTCTACCTTCTTTGCAGCTTCAGCAAGCTCCTTATTTGCTTTATAGGTCCTACTCACGCAATCCATATAATCTCGATTGAAGTCTGCGCAAGGCAAATTATCATGCTCCCATTTTTTCAAGCAATCAAAAAGGGCTTGTAGCTCTTTTGTACAAGTTTCACCTGCAAATATATACATCCCACTTATCTTTGGAAATTTAAAGATCCAATTATATCACTGAAACAGAGCAAGCTTGAAGTAAATTAGTGGGAAAGACAAAAGCATAATCACCAGAGATACAAAAAATTTCGAGAATGAACACAGACTGTTACAAATATCTTGAGTATTCTCCTGTACTTCTAAAAAGGAAAAAAAAAAACCCTCCGTTCTTTTTTAATTTCTTTGCAATATTACAAATATAAGTAAAAATTAAACCTCGTGGTTTCGTATAATTACTCATTACATAATTCGTAGATTTTAGGGGAAGAAATTCCTTAAATTGCAACTGATCACTCTTTACCAAACTGGTCGTAATTGGTATTTTAAAATGACATTTTGAAAGCGATCCTGTAAATTGCATCGTTCTTCTCTATTTCTCCCTTCCTTTATCAAAATTAAATAAAACTATTGCATTTAATACTGCTGATTGCCACGAAATAATCCCTGAAACAAAATAATAATGATAGAAAATTTCTAAAAAATATACTAAAAAGCAACTCTTAAATAATATTGCAAAATATCCTACAGCATCAAATCACAGATCCCATCAGAACAACACCAATTCAACCCGGTTGGTTTCATGATGGTCTCAGTCAAGGTTGTACAAAATGCTTTAATTAAATTTCATGGTTCAAAACCATAAGACGGAGTTATTTGATGACTGTGAGCATTAACTGGACTTCGAATATTTGATGATGCTGTTAGGTTTCCGATTTTTAAAAGGTTTTATGAGCGATGTTTAGAAGACATTGGGGAATATAAAAGATGAAACATGGAAATGTCACGTTTTTTTTCTTTTTTAATTTTTGCTAAAATTGTTTATTCATTTGGAAAGAAAGAAATTTATCGAACAAAAGCAAAATTAATATTTTGGAATGCTGAATATTTTTCAGTAATAAGCAATAAATTCATTGTATCATGTTAATAATGAAACATATTTGCAGATGCCGAAACAGCGTCAAGCTTTTGTTGATCCCAATGCGGAACGAGTTCGAACTCACTTGTTTTTTTCATCCAAAGTTCCACGTAATCCATCAAGACGAAGACGACGTCCTCATAGTAAGTTAGGTAATAATAGTTGGGTAGGTTTAAAATACACTAAATACGTATGATACTGATGTGGAATATATGACATAGAGTATTATCCTTTCTTTAAGTATATAAAATTTGGGATGAAATTAGGAATTCGGAAATTTTTCTGTAAAGGTTACTCGCATACTCGTAAATTGCAGATAAATTACACCAGCTCTTGCATCGTAAGGATGAAATGGTGCAAACGGCACCAGCCGAATTAGAACCGTCCTTATGGTCCGGTAATCAACGAGTACTTCATTTTGGTCCTATGGCACAACGTGATCCATTCTTCTACTACTATCCAAAAGGATGGGATGTTCTGTATCCGGCACACTTCGGTTTTTTTCCTTATCGGGCAACGTATGGATTTTTTACATTCCTTATTTACTTTCAATGAATGCGCTTTCCTAAGATGCATTATTTTATGTTGTTGCCTTTTGCTCTAATATCACTGACAAGTAAAGAGAGAGGGAGATTTGGATGAACTCCTTTCGGAATTGAGGGGTCATATACGAAGTTGACTGTGATTTGCAGTCCGACTTTTAAAATTTTGATTGTTTTTTGAATCTTATTTAGTGGAAGAAGTTGACTTTTAATTTGATTTTAGCTTTTCTCGTTAGACGTATTTACTTTTCTCCGGTACTGGGAACTGTTGATCACCCTTAATAATGATCATCCAGGAAAAGTTTCACGTCAGATTTTAGTAAGCTGTCGGAGAAATTTGGTTTTTTCCACATAGTGGCAGGGAAATTTTCAGTAGAAAAGCTTGCGCAAAGAAGTAGGATCGGTATTGATGTAAAATTTCCAACTCTGTCTCCCTGTCTCTCTCTTTCTCTGGAACGGTAGTTAGGTCTTCTGATTTTGCATGGATGTCAATTCTTACATTCCAGAATGCAGTGATTTTGATTAAGGACTACTAAAGATATCGTCTTCATAAATTTCGTTGACGTACTTTTGAACAACTAATTTTTCTAATGCGCCTAACATACTTTATACTGTGAAAGCTACTTCAACTAACATACTTTATAATGCTGCGGAAGCTAACGAAAGTCTTAGGAAATGTTTATTAGATTTCAGATTTTCTCAACGAGTTCCGTGAAATTTGTTCTTCGCATGCTATTGCCGTGATTTCATATGTGACAAATGCAGTTGAACGTCAGTTTTTATCTTTTTTTCCGGATAATTTTAATTCTGAGCGGAATTTCCTATAGAATAAATCTCATTCTTTTCACCTCACTTTTCACTTTCACTTCGCTACCACTTTCTAGGAAATTTCGAGGATCTTCATCCGCTATTTGCATAAGTGCATTTGGCACCTTCTTATCGTTAGGTGGTGCTTTAATGTTGCTTTTGGCACACTTCTCAATGGATGATTCGCCGCTGTTCAATTTGAAATATTATTATCAAAAGCCGATACAATTAGCTGGTTTAATTTTCCTCATTTGTGGTGGTATCCTGGTGTTTGTGTCACTCGTATGTATAATATTTTCGGTTAAGGTTCGTTCGAGGAGTCATTTCTGCATCTTATTAAAATTAAAATTTTGAGTATTATTATTAAAAAGTACTACTTTTTCGAATATGGTTTAATTCCACTGTGCTATTTAGATTTTGAGTGCGGACATCAGTACTGAACTTGGACGGCCACGTTACACAATTTTGAAGCAAGCTATAAAGGTATTTGTTTTCTTCATACTTCGTGCTTCTCTATTAAAGTTTATCTCTTTGCTTTTTGTTTAAAATATAGATAGGGGGAAGTGGTCAGAGAGTGGGTAACATAAATATGTGCATATGCTTAAAAAACATAGGAACAGTCCTGAACATTTGTAACAATTTGCAGATTTTGTACTTTAATATACTTTACATCACTTTTGTATGTTTTGTTAATGAAAACATATTTTCCGGAACCCACAGATTTATGGGAGAAATTTAGCTGGCTCATTTATGCTCATATGTTTAATTAATTATGATATTTTAGGAACCGATTGGTGTTTACGAAAAATCTCCTTACCAATCAATGCCACCACCAGCGTATCCAGTTTTGGAAAACAAATACACTCAAATGACAGTGTTCAGTCCGAAATCAGAATTGAAATTATATCCACCGGTGTTAGTCTTATTAAATAACCGAATGTATATATCGGTTAGCTGATTATGCCCTGTTCTAGGCGTGGGAATGTTAAAAGGGTCAAACAGTGGGGGAATAGTTTTAAAGTGGTCAACAAGTGGATAACATAAATATGTGCAGCACATACGCCTCAATTCACACGCAGACAAGTTGGATTAATCAGTCTCGTAACGGTACGCTGGAGTCCAAGCAAGAGTGAAACTGCAACGTTGACGAAAGGTCGTATAGTTGCATTAATGGGACTGATGGACAAAACAAGTACCACAAGAACTCAACTTGGAAATGGAATTCACCGCTAGTGAGGGAGGATTCTAAAAGATTTGAAAGGAGTGAATGAGGATAAATTCTATCCGATACATTCAAAAGATCCTACACATTCAATTTGAATTAAGCAATGCAATTCAACAACACGAGCATCAGTTCAAGACAGAATTGATAATGGAAGTAAAAGCAAGTGGTGGAATGAAAGTATGACAACTTAGTGAACATTCAGTAGATTGTTGGTATAATTTAGTACTCACTTAGTTGATTTTTTTCTATTATACGACAATAGCAAGAAATACTATAAAATAAAAGCTCTCTCAGACGAAGGTATATTTTTGTTAGTAAATAGCATTTTCTTTGAAACGTTGATTAAAAAAAGATGAAATTGATAAATGCTATTATTAATTCGTTGTCTTTGTCAACCGGCAGATGAATTAGGTAGAACGCTTTAGGAGTTGATAGTGTGAACTGGTGTTAAGGCAATGTCACTTTGATAATGATGAAAAACACTTAATCAGATCAATATCCCGAGCTGTGTGTTATATTATACGATGAGATGAATTTGATGATTAAGAAATACCATTTGGTGAGGCATTAAAAATAGTGGTAGATTTTAAAGTTCCAGTAATTACGTGATTTAACGTGCTAAAATTACATGTAATCCTTATTTTAAAATTACCTATAATCCTTATTTTATAGAATGCCCGGTTGTTCGACGTTATCGTTGCATGATCGATCATCAAGTTCTTATTTTGCTAGTCCATACAATACTTTACGCGCCGTCTCTGCTACAGTGTAATTTTCTGCTTGAAAGTGCAAGGTTTTGCAAATTTATATAGAGATTCTTTTCAAACTTCTTGAAATTCGTGAAATGCAAACTTAAAATAAATCTTTTCAGACAAACGGACATGGTAAAGGAAAATCCACGAGCTAATTCGTTGGCAGGTACTCGAAAGCTTTCAAACGATTCTGTGCAAACTTCACGTCGAACAAAAAGCTTAGCTGCTTCGTCAACAAGAACAGAGAAGTCGACACGCTTGATGAAATGAATTTAAGTGCAATGAAAAGAAAAGGACATGAACTCTTGGATTATTTTCTGTGGCTTAGCGTTAAATTTAATTATATCTGTCGCGAAATTTGTTTCATTTTATCTTTTATCTCTACAATGTCTTTGTTTGCATAGTATTGGTGTTAGTATTCGATTAGTTGTAGCTTGGGTCATCATGTAACACTAATATGTCAGCCATGTAATAACAATATGTCTATCGATTAATTGTTAATCTTATGTAATATTTTGTTCGTATTTTGTGGAGAATTGCTCATAGGTAGGCAAATCACTCTAATGCTTGAGAATTTAGACTTGTCAATGAAAGTGTTTTATTCTTTGACTAGAGATATCTTAGTATGTTTGCTTGGCAGTAAATAATATCGGAAAGAAATATGTAATATTAGAAAGAAATGCTGTTGAACCTTCAAAGCTTTTTTCGTAATTAGGTTTGGAGGGTTCTGAATTGTTATTTGCTAACTATACGTTGTGTGTTCTTAGTCTGCTTGTAGTTTCTTGAATGCATTGTTGTGTGGTACCTAATAATTATCTATATATAATGTGATAGAATGTTTAAATGACATTTTAAAAATCAACGAGGAAAGTGATATTATCCATTCGGATTTACAGAGATTTTCGATTCTTCATTCCAAGTATATGTTGAATTAAATCATTAATTCAATTGGCGGATTACAATAAATATTTCAGTGAGAATGCTGGTAATTTTACAAACAGCAAAACTATTTTCTAGTCGGATTCCATCATTTATTGGCGCTCAAGTTTCTCGTTTTATTTCATACTTGTACTATCAAATTGAAAAGGATGAGTTGAAATTTGAAGGTCGAACTTTAGATTACCCGTCGTCTACCCAATTTTCCGTTCAACTATTAATGCTGAAGAAGGATTGGGGAAAATTGGTTGTTATACCGAATAGATACTGCAGCTCTACTACGAAAAGCTGATTGGTGCTTGGTCTTTTTTTCTCGAGAATCAACGGAGAACATATTTGAGTCGAGAATTGATCTCCGGCGATAGATACGGTATCGAAGTGTAATTGCTGCAATTTTTTTGTATTGAATAAAGAAATAGGTGTATTCTGCATCGGCCTTCAACATTGCGATCAGTATAGAAAATGAATTAAATTCAGGGAATCCCATAATCATACTAATGTTATTACGGAAACTTCATCAGGCAGACATAGGAATTAATGTTAGGAGAACAAATGTTATTATGTGGTAAAAGACATAACAATATGCAACCCTTCATCAATGACGGTGAGTGAATCACGCATTTGCCCTTTCAGGAAATTCATACCCACTATGTTGTCTTGAGTGAATTCATAGCCATTGTGATGTCTTCAGTGAATTTATGAGACAAAATGACCGATTGCGGTAAATTTAATTATTTCTTTGAAAAAAAAAAAAGCATTTAACATTAATATGTCAAATGTGTAGTATATATTTGAACAATTTATACTGTTATCCTGACGTTGACGTAGCAGTTCGTAATCAACCATTTTATATCAGTTTTCAGCAAATGAAAGAAGGTCAAAAGAAATTCATAAATATATGGTTTATTAATTTTAGGTTCAAAAAATAATAGTCAGTTTTTGGCACCAAGTCAAAGGACTACTCGACAATTTCGCTATTTCAGTATGCAAACCGTGGAATTTGCAGTACCATCCGATTCAACAGATGAACTTTCAACTGTTGAATATTTAGGGGGTGGTTCATTCGGCAACGTTATGTACGTATTTATAATACACTTGTCATTTTATTTGTATTTTAATTTGTGAAAAATATAACTGGAATTTTTCGTAATCCTAATTTAAACTTTTGAGAAAGGAATTTGCAGAAAAATTACAAATTTTATATGTGTCGATGGTCGTCGAACAGTTGTTGCAATCAAAAAATTATATGAACCATTTCGCGATGAAAAAACTGCACTAAGAGTACATAGGTAAGAAATTTAAATCTTAAAATGTTCTTGTCACTCGACATCATTGTCCAGAACAAAGCTTGACATATGTGAATGCTGCAGAATTCGACAGCTGTTCAGTTGAGGACTAATAAGCGGAAACAGTATGGTATTCTTGGTGAAGTATATATTGTCAAAATCAATTTGGTGCATTTGCATTGAGAGTGATAAGATATTAATATAAGCTGCTGTTATTTTAAACAGAAAAGAGACAGAAAGGGGAAAGGTACAATATTTCATATGATCTTTTTTAAAAATTGCGAACATTCTTGAGTGGAATTGTCATTCTTTTTTCTTGGAAGAAAAAACATAACTATCCACATCTATTTTTCATATTTTAGGGAAATTCGTCTACTTCAAATGATGGTCCATGAGAATATTGTGAGGCTTTTGGACTTGTATACACCTGATAATTCACTTTCTACTCTTTCCATTGTGTAAGTTTCGTAATAACTTTACCTGAAACTCATTTATTATTCGTCTTTAGTGAAAAAATATTGCTATACAGACAATGGTAATTATTTAGATAACTTCGGAATTTGTTTCTCAGTACTATATTTTACAAGAAGTCTACAGAGAGTTTAATCTGCCAAATTAGTTATTAAAGATTAGAAATTTTAGAATGAGGTCGATGTGCGGAAGAAATATAAGATGAAAGGAAGATAGTTCTTTAGTATGATAAACTTTTATATCACGAATAAGTTCACCTCTTCACTTTTGCATATTACTTTTTACTGAGCATGTCTTCAAACAATCTTTTGCATTTTTTTTTTTTTTTTTTTTCATTATCAACGTTGATAGTTATAAAACTTGTTCAAATAAACTCATTTAGCTTTGTATGACTAATACGGAAAATTATATCTTTATGTCTGTTTTGTTCAGATTTTTTTTGTATAATATATTAGTGTTGGATAGCATTCCCAACATTTATGCACCTTTTAATCTTTTACTTTAGGTATATTGTGACAGAATACGCTGGTAATAGTTTGTATGAAATTTTGAAACGAGAACGTGAAACAGGATTACGAATCCTTACTCCGGAACATCATAAATTTATTATTTATCAATTGTTGCGTGCATTGAAATACATTCATTCAGCAAATGTAATTTTCTCGGAATTCTTTGGTATTTTTTTTTTTTTCACAATGTTACCAGCATTTTTAAGAAATTGAAAAAGATAAGCATTATATACTCTATCAAATTTTGTTAAGGTTATGCATCGAGATTTGAAACCGGGTAATTTGGCTCTTACTGATGAATGTGATTTATCAGTTTTGGATTTTGGTTTAGCTCGTTCATTAAATGCTGACGATACTGTTTTATCTGCATATGTTATAACACGTTGGTATCGTAGTCCGGAAGTTATGTATTGGAAGATATGTTCATACGACACGCAAGGTATGAAATATTCCTTCTCTTATCGTAACATTTAATGTATGAATCTAATATTCGTCTTTTGGTAACGAATCTTTGTTCATAAATTGTACCAAATTTAGTAGATATTTTTTGTAAGAACTAGTGGAGGTATTTTGTTGTAAAAATGAAAAGACGATTCATAGAATAGATCTTATGTAGCTATTTTCGTTAAGTATTATTTTTTGATTAAAAAGAATTTTTCAGCTGATGTGTGGTCAGTAGGTTGCATTCTTGCAGAACTTAGTCTCGGACATCCACTTTTTCCTGGGGAAGATTGTAAGTTTTAGTTTTTTATTGTTAAATGTATAGATTTCAGTTCTTACTTCCATCAAGAAATCATTTTTCGAACTTTATTTTCCAAAGTTTGGACTTAAAAAATGTAATAATTCTTATGTTTTATGCAACTTTTTCGCCTGTTTCGGAATACGTCATTTTCAGCTATGGCACAATATCGTTTAATAGCAGAGCTATGTGGAAGTCCGGACCCAGAATTATTAGTTAAATTAGCTTCGAATGAAGCCATTCTTAATGTTATAACGAAACTGGGTGTTTATTCGCGCAAATCTTTTTCAGAATATTTTCCTAAAACCTTCTCCAAACATCTTGTTGATTTTCTAGATCGAATTCTTGTGCTAGATCCCGAGAAAAGGTTGGTGAATTTTATTATTGAATTATATTTTGTTTACCATATATTATGATAGGGTAGTAATTTCTTCAGTTTATATGCTTTCTTTTTAGGGATTTTTAGATTCAGTTGATAAAAATTTATCATCGATATTTTTTGTTGCTTTTAGAATGACGGTAACGGATGCACTTAGCCATCCTTACTTAGAGGAATATTCAATGCCAGAGGACGAGCCAGTAGCAGATGGGCCTTTCATTCTAGATGAAGGATCAAATGGCCGGACAATTGCAGAATGGAAAGGTAATCATCGATAGTTTAGCCTCATTTGTTGATTCAAAGCAGTAAAATTTCTAATAACTCAAATTTTGTGAGGTGGACTGGATGTCTCGTAAAAAACTGAATATGTAGGGGAAATTCTTAAGTAATAGTGTGCTGACCTGTCATGATTATTTGAAAAACTATTTAATGAACCGATCCAAACGCAAGCGTTACAATTTCTTATCATTGTCCAAGAAAATCTAGGATGAATAATACGTCAGATGCTAATCCGAAGTTCGTACTCATTACTTACTCTTTCTTATCATTTCAGCTCTTATATGGCAAGAATTGTTGAATTTTGATCGACGGAAGAAAAACAGTTGTTGATGACATTAATAACACAAATGTACATTATACGATATTTCTGTTCATAAAATATTTCAGTGTTTTTGTGTAATTTTCCAAAACCATATCAAAAAGTAGGGAAAAATCAACTGCCTAAGTCGAGAAATACATATTGTAATATTTGCAAACAAATATTTATTAGTTACTGATGAAAATTTCACATCAAATATTATAATGTCAAAAGTTTGAACACTTAGAATTTAAATAGCATATATAATGTGTAATTCTTGACAAGCACTCCATGATTTTTTTTTTTTTTTGACAAAATTTTCAACATTATGAAAATTTGTAAAAGATCAAACTACTTCATGTCTAAAATTCCT